TCAAAGGCAGATGGTACTAGCACATTCTTGTGACAGCTCGTGAGGTGCCACAGTCACGGAGTCAAACCATTCAAACGCTGCACCTGACCCTCAAGCTGCTGTGGAATTCAGCCAAGCAGCAAGCCCCAGAGTCTCGCCGGCTCAAACGCCTGGGAAAGTCTCTCAGGCTTGGCCTAGATTCTTTCTTGCAGACAGCTGCTGTGCTTCAAGATTAATCTCTAAATGTCTCCGAATGGGAATCTGTGCTTGGAGCCCAGCGGCCAGGCTATGAGGGCTGCTAGAAGCGCTGCAACTCTGCGAGCCATGCCCGCTCAGGAAGCAGAAGCTTGAATGAAATTAAAATGGGATGAAGTGGGACCACAGCAGGCTTTTTTGTTTCCCGAATGCGCAGCGGCGTAGCAGAAGGGTGGAGTGCCAGGGTTCCAGGGGGTTGGAGGTGACCGAAACCGTTGCGCATGCAGTCGAAAAACGCTTGCGCGGTATCTGTTTAACTGCAGAGCGCCCGCAAAGTGTCGGCGAGTATCGCACAGCTTGGAGCTGCCAAGCTACTGGGCAACTCCACACATCCCATCACATGCACTGCGGCAGTTCTTGTATTGCGGCAAGCTAAGGGGAAACTCCACACGAGGCAGGTCCAGAAGCATTGTGGGGACCGTCCTCAAGGGTCGTGTGGGCAAGCTAAGTAGAGACTGCACGTGAGTCCGTGTTGTGAGCGTGCGGTTGGCAAAATCAAGCGAATTTCTTACATGAGTTTATTCTGCCTGATTCACTCCTGCATCCAAACATGAATCAATTCGATTTGATTCTTGCAGAGCCAAAGAGGGCAACGCAACGCCTGTTGAGCTATCCTGACAGCGTCCCGGGGCGAAACACGCATCCTCGAATCCGCGAATCCTAGAACCTAGGAATCGCGAATCCGCGAATCCGCAAGTCCTTGAATCCGCAAATCGACGAATCTGCGAATCCGCGAATCTGCCATCGACTCTGCGAATCCGCACATCTGCAAATCCACGAATCCATGAATCCGCGAATCCGCAAACATCCGCAAATCTGCGAATATCCGCGAATCCACGAATACACGCGCATCTGCGAATATCTGCGAGTCCGCGAAAATCCACAAAACCAATGCTGTCAAGATAGATCTGAACGCGTGAGCAAGCACTGGGACTTCGCAGTGATGTTGCCAGCACCAAAAGGAGAGATGATTTGAAGCACAATTCCGTGGTTGACGTGCCTTGCTTGTTCGGCTATCTGCTGCACAGTTGCAGTCTTGGGAAGGTGCGTGTGAAACTGCTCGCGGCTTGCAAAACGTGACTCTTAGTTGCATGGTGTTGCCCGGGTGCGTCTCGCTGGCTCATAAACATTTTTTGTCTCGCAATCTCTCGGATTCATGTTTCCTTGTTTGATGCAGGAAGCGACCCCTTGCTGCAATGGATTATGGCAAGGCGGCGGTCCAGTATACGCAAAGAGCTTGTCGCTCGCCACGGCAATATGCCGAAGCGCAAATATGCTAGGTCTGCTGGCTATGGGCTGGCCCGGAAGGGCAAACATGCCAGGTTTGCAGCACAACTACAGCATGCCATGCTTCGGTGCATGCCAGCGCTTGGCAGTTCCAGTACCAGGTTTCGTGGCGCAGCGGATATCCAGGGCCTCAGAGGCTGTTGCCTCATGGTCTATCGGGCGCGTGCCCGTCATTGTACTTGGTGGTCATGTAAATATTGCAAGAGAAGGGAGCAGCAGGTAGGTAAGTGATGAATTGTTTCTGTAATTGCTTGGCTCGAATGCTTTCGGCTTTATGTACTGCAGCTTCCTTGTCTCTTCATGTGACCGGCCACTTCACACACGGCGTCTCGTGCGTCGCGCGCATTCACTGTATATATGCTGTGTCAAGTGAACTGCATTGGGCTTTGTGGCCCCTATTGTATTATTGTATCAGGCTTGTCAGGCTTGTGTTGTAGTTCTTCGGCAAGGGATGATGGGCTTTCCAGGGTTAGCCTCCTTCCTGGTCATACATGCAGTCTTGATGACCTCACCAATGTACAACCCTGACACTATACAGAAATCTACATGCAACGCTGCCGAGAAGACATGCCTCCTCTGACAAAACTCTTGAATTCGGCACACCCTGAAGCCAAATGGCCACCCGCTGCCACATTGAGTTCAAACAACACGCGTACCCTAGTTGCTGGTGAGCCTTGGAACCTCACGTGCCGAAGCGGAGTAACAAGCACAACTGCAGTGACCTCATGGTAGGATACTGTGGGTAGGTACAATGATTGATGGACGAGCGCTCAGAAACTCTCAGAACCGGCAGAGCTCCCAAACATACGCTACGTTGAGATACATCATGTCCACTCGATCTTTTGGTCGGACGAGCGCCTCTTCGCCAAGCACGTCGTGGCGCGGCTGCTGGTGTAGGGTCCAAATCTCTGCAACTGACTTTGAAGAACAGGTCTCTCTCCTACAAAACTGGCTGCACCATCCCTTCGGCTACGCTTGGGAAAGCCTCCAGGCACCTCCGTATACCTCCGTACAAGCTATATCACTTTCGACAAGAGACATCGGCTTTGGCCCAAAACTCGGCCCAAAACGCACCGAAAAGAAACAACTTCCTGTCCAGGCTCCAAGGAATGTACCCTCCTCCATATCACACAGCAATGCCCTCGGCGGCAAGAAAAAGAGAACATTTTCTCACCCGAAAGAACATTCCTCCAAAAACGCATTACAACATTTGAGACGGGTAGGCCCGGAATTCTACTCAAATCGGGTGTGTTCTCTTTGTCTTTGCAGCTGCACTGTGTCATATGAAGAGAAAAGAGGCGTGCCTCACTGGAGCCATACGCCAGCAGGCCCCAACTCGAAGCTGCTAGCTGGTCGGACCAAAAAAAGGAAGTAGAGGGGTCAACTCATAAATTGGAGAACGTCATGCTCCATCATCCGCTTCTTCCCACTGCCTCCTGTAGGTCCCCAGATTTGCCGGCGCGCCCCAGAAACTACAAAGCAGGTTCTCGAGACTACGGGCGTCTCAGACAACGGACTTGCTAAAGGGTATTCAGGTCTGCTTTGATTGTTAAAGCATGAAACGCGCTTTTGGAAGCTTCATGAGCTGTGCATGCAGACACATGAGATGCGAAGAATTGTACCATGCCTGCCCAAGTACCATGTCTGTCCCGCTGCTGCTAAGTGCTTGTAGTACCCCTTGGAATACATGCTGGCAAATTCGGGATTTAAAGCATAAGCTGGGACTTCATAACTCACCAGCAGAAAACACTCGCTTCAAAGGCAACGCCCACAGAGTCATCAAAAAAAACTTGAAGGTGACTCTTAAGCTGGCAAAAAATCAAAGCACGGCAAGGAGACATTCAGGTTTCGAGCATGAGGTGAGAGTTTGACGCTCCCAGTCGAGCAAAGCTACCTGAGCAGCTCACTAGAGCAAGATGTGGTGCAGCTCCTGTTCCTGCAGCTTGACAACCAAACACGACGCCATTGGCCTTGTCGATGTCGTCGTCGTCGCTGCTGCTGTTGTTGCTGCTGGTGTTGTCCTTGCTGTTGCTGTGGTTGTTCATATGTGTTTTTTGTTGTTCCGCACTGATCGGATCGTTTCAGAGGTGGGATCACTGTCACTGGTAGGCAGGCAGTCAGTCGCTTGAGCATCTGCAAATCTCCCTCCCCTAGTTTACACGATTTCTGAAGAATTGCTGCTGACACTCTTGCTTCGCTGTTCTCTTCACCTTTGCCGTTAGTTCTCTCCACTTGCACCGGGACCCCCGCTAGTTTCTCATCAGCCCTGCGACAGACATCCCAGGTAACGTTCTTATGCTCCTTTTGTCCGCCTCTAATTACTCATGTTTTGAGATATCTATTGATTTGACCAGGGCGTGGTGTTCAAACATTGGCATTTATCACCTGCCCATCAGGGCGCCATTTGCGAATCACTTAACTTCTTGAACTCAGTTTGAGTTTCAGACGCTGGTCAACATGCGATCAGTCGAAACTTCTATCGCCGCTCTCACAACTTGGCGCGTGTCTGACCAGGTTTGGGTGACGCATATCTTCGAAGACCCCCCGACTTTCTGGCTGTACGTGTGCTCACTTGCGAATCTGCATCCTCATGCTGTCCTCAACGATATTTTTCTTTTCGGTTCGTAGAGGTTGCCATCCTCGCAAGTGTATTTATTTCGCGGAAGGCAACACCATCTCGTAACTTCTCGCTCGGCATTGGACACCAAGAAAAATGAAAAACGTTAAAAAACCAAGAACAGTGCCAACAAAGAAGCCCCAAACCCTACAAACCCTCTTGAAAGTGGGAAGGCATCCTGTTGATGAGTATCGAACACAAACGTGATTGGCCCCTGTGCGGATGAAGCCGTGGTGTCTGAGAAGCTTACCAATGCCTGGGTGAGACGCGCAGACTGAATACCCTTGGGCCTTTGTCTGTCTTGGGATGCAACGTAAAGTGCACTATACCATATTCTGGACTACAGAAACCTTGTTAGCGGGCTGACAATTGAAATACAACCTACCTGCCTTCAGTGACACTGATGCCTGCTACTGCCAGCTTTCCAAGTCCCGACTCCCACGTGAAGATCTTGCCGCTGCGAAGGTTCTTGCTTCTTCTCAAAGAAGTGGATGCAGCCGGCAACATGCATGCTGAACGTCTCAAGCTTCATGAGGGCTAAAAGGATCAGTGGACGATGTCTTGTACATCCTACGCAAGTTCCTCAACTTTGATTACGCAATGCCTCCACTGAGCTTGAAGTACTTCAGGAAACTCAGGAGTGAAAGCGAAGGTCCTGGATTGAAGAACGAGTTCAGCTGTCCCACTAACTTTCTCGGCTCCATGCTCGGCCGCTCAGGCTCTTGCAACTTCCCATGTCAGTGATTCTGACACATTTAAACACACAAACCATTGTCCACTGGCCTTGCCCTTCTGGACCCTTAAGTCAAAGCTTTCTAGGATTTCCCAACCCAAAGCGCGTCCGAAGCTATTGGACCTCGGCTTACACCACCTGGCTCTCACAGGAAGAGGCGCTTGGAGGGCCGGACGCGGCTGTGCCTGCGCCACGGAAAAATTCTCAGACTTCAGTATTTTTCCTGTGCGCAAGCCTTGTTCGGTAAGGCCTTCAGCTTCGGCAGCAGACTTCAGGATATCAAAGGTTTTGGTTCTGAATGCTCAAGCCTTCCCGACCCTGCAAAGACTTGAGCCCTGAAAGGCAGCCCTTGGCAATGCAGACGTCCATGCTTCATAATGCGGACGGGCAGCCATTGCTGTGCTCGACCTGGCAAGACAAGGTTCGCTGAACTATGGCAACCCTTCAGCCTTGAATTGCGTGCCCACCTAAAAACAATCTTGAGTGAGTGGCGCTCACCGCGCTCAGTAGGTCTGCCTGTCCGCCTGACGCCTCTGTTTCATTGATACAAAAACACAAGCTCGCCATGCTCTGAATGACTAGTAAGCTATGTGCCTGCCCGGCCAGCGCGAAAACCTGCACGGACAGCGCGATCACCTTTTGCCAAACTTCACCGCAGCTTTAGCTTTGCGGGTAGCGGAAACGATTTGATTTGTGTGAGGTCTCAACTTGGACATTGCCTGCAATGCATATGCATATGACAGTTACTTGTGGCTTTGACAACACTTTCTTTTGTGAAGGCCAGGCACCAGCGCCGTGGTCCCCACAGGCCAGTCAAAGACAACGTGGTTCAACCAAATGTCCCCCACGAAATAAACCTCGCAGGATGACGCTTTCAGATCATTTTGTCTTCGGGAAACTGCCCCATGCAAAGCAGAGCTGTCATGTCAACGCGGGCCACGGTGCAAGTCTTGCAGGAGTCTCACGGTGGCTAGCACTAGTTGCAGTAGCGTGCAAAGGAGGATGGTCGCAGCTGTGAACAGCGGACAGTTATAGACAAGGTGATGACGAAAAGATATCGACCTGAGTTTGCCATCTGAAAGCCTACACTTTCAGCTCGACACGTGACAAAGACTCTCCGCACCAGCAGACCTGCTGCTCAACCCACCAGACCAATTGGAATTCTGAAAACCTCCGCAACAGTTATGACGTCAAGACCCAGCAGACCCAACAACTCCTGCCAGGCGGCTATGAGCAAGGAAAGCTGCTGTGCGCTGGAACGGATAACAGTTGAAAGCCGTTTAGCCACGAGGCCTGCAGCACGACAATGTGATAATACCTCCTTTGGCCCTTTGGGAACCTGCATTGTCTTTGGCACAACATGCACAACGTCATTTTTGAAATGAGATTGCACTGATTTGGGATTCAGACCTGAACGAGCCATGTTTGAAATGAAGGGCAAAGGCTCTGCTGAGATCACCCAATCTCCTAAAACACTGGTGACAAAGCTGGAAATGCCTGCGAGCCAGTTCTGCAACAAGGTCACGATCAGTACCAGGACCTGCCCACACAATTTCATTTTTGCCAAACCATCTGCTGATCACGGAACCCTGCCATACATCCTTGCAAAACACCAAGCTTGTAAGTGCCAAGAAGCCAAAGCTGTACATATGTGCTGCTAGTTCTGCGTAAAGTCAGGCTGGAGCCTGGGGCCCCGTTCTCCAGTACATTGCGACATATTGCGACAATCTTTTGTTTCAGGTTGTAGAATGACAAATGCCCGAAATTCACCTGAAATCTCACTTGGCAAGCTCAGATAGATCAAAAAACACACCGTGCCAGACCTAGCCAGCAACGACCCTTCTCCCGAGGGGCCATCCGCGCATCCCAGGCCACAAAAATGCCAGACTCCATCCTGCAAACAGCTCAAAAGGCTTTCTGACGTATGGTAGAGGACTGCAGTGGAAACATTGTTAACTAAGCATTGAACAAGATCGCACGACAGCTCAAACAAGTCCGCTGCTGAAAATGGCGGACTTCATCATGCACGTGTTTTTCACAAGAACGGAATTTTGAAAACCCTTTGCCTAGGATGGGCACAGAAACACATGTGGAGTCTACCATGCGCAGCCACCAATACCAATGGCAGACCATCAGCCAAATCACTTTTGCTTGGACAAGCCGACCGATCGGAAACCATCTTTTTGCTGCTGCTGCTGCTGCTGCTGCTGCTGCGGGATGCAATGACATCCATAGTCTATGCTTAGCCGAACGGAACAACTTTGTTCACGCCCCAGTCGCATACTGACACAAACAGCTGCAGCAGCAGTTGAATCCAAAGCGATAAACAGGTCTTTTAAAGAAAAAAAGGCTGGCTGACTGCCGCCGTTGCATGCTGCACACGCTGAACACAAGGAGGTCATTGACTCTTGCGATCTACACAGCAGGAGCCGAACGTAAGCAAAATGCAGTCATCAAAATTGCGCTCAACTGGGTCTTTAGAATGGGACTTCAGGTCACACCGGACATGCAACATGCACACACACACACATAATCTTGGTCACCAAGGATGCTACAGGACAATACAGGACATAGACGTACATGCAACGTGGGCGCAAGTACCTGACCGACAATAGTGCTCTGGCATATGGGTGCTTAGGCAACATGGATGGCTATTGGGGATGTTATAGACGCCCTTGTCTGAGCCAGCGCGGATGTCTTGGAATTATGCTCCGACCGCGGCCTTCAAACAAACCCACATGTCCCCACCTCAAGTAATTCCTACCCTTCCAGGCTTGAAGCAACCCATCTAGTCCTACCAGCCAAGCCTCCTCCCCCTTCCCTGACCGGGCTCCCGCCTTTTCTCCGTAAAAAAACCGCCGCCCCCTGTATCCAGGCCCAGGTATCTCGACAGAGATGTGGTAATAGGTAGTGCAATAGTATAATAGTAACACGCTGTTTGTTGTCTGCTCTAGCACACAGTTGTATGCCTTGAACCACTTACAGCAGAGGAAGTGCAAAGCCATGCGTATACATCTTATACAGGTACAGGACTTAAGGTATTGTCGTAAGCTTATATGGGTTCCCTTAGGGGGCCCTACTTTTTACATCAAAACAGACACTCATTTTCTTAAGTCGTAGACATACTGTCCTGCCCTTTATTAAGGGGGTAACTAAGTTACAGGTCCCTTATTAGGTACACATATGGCTGAACCCTTTCC